TCTGCCCCTACCTCTCCCTTCCTATCTCCTTCATCCAGGTTCGCACACATCCACCTCGACATTGTCGGACCTTTACCAACTTCTCATGATTTCAGGTACTGTCTCACCGTCATCGACAGGTTCACGCGATGGCCTGAGGCGTACCCAATGGCGGACATCACTGCGGACACGTGTGCAACAGCGCTCGTGTCTGGCTGGATCGCAAGGTTCGGTTGTCCCTTGAAGATAACAACTGACCGAGGGCGACAGTTCGAGTCTCATCTCTTCAAAGCCATCGCATCAATGGTTGGTGCGCAACACTTCCGCACGACCGCATACCACCCTGCGGCAAATGGAATGGTCGAGCGGCTACACCGACAACTCAAGGGAGCCATAATGTGTCACTCCACGACGCATTGGACAGAGGTACTTCCACTAGTACTTTTAGGCATCAGAAGTGCATGGAAGGCGGACATCCAGGCGTCACCAGCAGAGTTGGTCTACGGGGAACCGCTCCGGTTACCAGGCCAGTTCATTGCACCTACCAGCAATCACGACACAGCTGAAGTTACTGATCTCGCGACACGCTTACGAAGCCACATGAGTAAGCTGACTCCAAAGCCTGCTTCCTGGCACAGCAAGGGTCCATTCTACATACCTCGACATCTCAATAGTTCATCTCACGTGTTCTTGCGGCAGGATTTTGTCCGAAGACCGCTGGAGCCACCGTATGCTGGACCTTTCAGGGTACTAGAACGCCACGCAAAGTACTACAAGATTGATATGTGCGGGAAGGAAGTGACAGTTAGTGTTGACAGACTGAAACCTGCATTCCTTGCTCGCGAAGATGGTACTTCATCACCACCATCTGAGTCACATCCCAGAGAATCTGATTCTGAGGCCAGCCAGGAGACAGAAAAGAGGACTCGAAGTGGTCGACGTGTTCATTTTCCAGATTTTTATCGCCCGCAGTAGCGGTCTCGGCGGGGGAGTACTGTGGCAACGCCGAGATCAAAAGATGCACATACTTTGGTCGCATAAAGGGGTGCACTCTAATCAAGCGCATCGGTTGCTTACCTCGCCGCCTGCTCCCGCACAATCCCCGACGTCGCGCGCGCCGGCGACCCGCTATCGCTCGGTCGCGGGCGGCAGTGCCGAGCTAGCTACGACGGCGAATGCACGCTCAATTTCGCTCCCGCCTATCCGCTAATACCCCATATTATATTTTATTAGTTCGCGAATTTCTTCTAGTATCTGTTCTTATTTCTCTACTCGTGTCTACTTCTTCCATTATCTGCCTGTACCATACTTTGCTGTAAAGCTTATGATTGTGGGATATAATAAACGCTTTAAACCAACGGTTTGTCGTCATTTAACATCACCCACATAATTAAGTTCATTACTTACAAAAACTAATAAACACACTTTATCTCGTCATAGGGTAAACAAATCTATGATGCTAATATCCATCGTAAAATGAACCCAAATTTATTACCATACGGTATAAAATCACATACCTGGTCCTCTTCTGCACGGGAGCGCTCGGTCCCGCTACAGCAAGAGCGGATCCATTTTCATCCGCATCACCTGCCTCTGAGCCGCCGTAGTAACATTCTAGAACCTTCGATTCAGGGACTAGGCCTGGAGACAAATGACAGAAAGTCTTACGCCCGAAAATTGAAATGCTGCTCAATTATAACTTAAATATTGTGTCAGTGTCGTGGTGGCCCGCTTCTCATGCATGAGGGTGCGGGTTCTACTAACGGCAAGTACCAATGTGACTTTTACAAGAGTTATATGTACTTTTTAAGATTATTTAGACATCACTGACAAACTGTAAAGGAAAACATCAAAATCAAATCAAAATCATTTACATTTTGGGTAAATAATTATGATCACAGTATTAAACTGTCAAACACCAAGCGGTCACCGGTGACCGCAACCTATTGTTCTATAATTGTGTCTATATTGACGGTACTCAACGAGTTAAGTTAGTACTACCAAAATTTGCCCTCACACGCGTATGAAATATTGTTAGCTTAAGTCAATAAAGATAGAAAGCAAAAAAAAACCGTCATAGTAAAAAAATAATAAATAAAAACATCATATAAATCGTAATCGTGAGGAAACCTGGGCTTATAATTTCTAACTATGAGTTTGAAATTGCCACCACGCATTGAGCAATTGTGGTGAGTAATGCTCAAACCTTCTCCGTGTGAGAAGAGGCTTTGCTTAGCAGTGGGCACTATAGGCTGTTGATGCATTGTGCCATCTCTGTCATTTTACAAATAATTTGTCGCGACAGAACCATACTTAAGCGCGACTTAAAATTGAGTGGTGTTTGAGTATTTGGACATTGAACAATAATGCTAGCAAATGTGATCTTAATAGATTGATTGTATAACTCTCATAAGTTAAGCTATGATTATCATCTTAGGGTTCCTTCGTGTTTCGTGAACATGTCCTAACGTGTTAAAAGATCTCAAGTCTGAGAGGAAATCAAATAAAAAATGTCTGTCAATAGATCTTAAATTATCTGAAATTCTTCCACAAGTTTTTCATTCAATTCACATTTACAATCATTACCAATCTGACCTCACTCACCAATATAGTCCTGTTCCTCGACATTAGCAAGCTTGATGATGAGCACCTCGACATGTTCCTGTGTCCCATCCTCCTTGCAGGTCCCATTGACGGGCTTGTCATCTCCAGCTGAAGCTAACGAGGAGTTGGAACTGGCACTGCGAGGGAGCCGTGGTCTCTGCACTTTGGCTAGGATGCTCTTCTTACTGGAATGACCGTTCTCTATTGGAGATGGGTCTTTGCATTCCGGTGGGGTTGTCGGCCTGGAAAATGTGGGTTGCTGTATGAAATTGTAGTTTATTTATGTGATTTTAGAGTTGGTTTTTCAATGTTTTCGGTGTTTCGTTTGTGGACAGTTCGAAAGTGTGACTGCGTTTTCGATTTCAAAATTGGTGGTAGTTGTTGGGATGCGAAGCTTTGGAACACGAATGATGCTCGGAAAATATTCCTGATTTATCGCAATAACCACCAATAAAAATGGTACAGTATCTCATCATGCTAATAACAATTTTATCACATGACCATAGAGTTCTTTATCAATTTACCTATACTTGGAGAAGTCAGGCATCTTCTTCAGCAAGTCATGTAGTCGGCTGCGGTAGTTAGGCTCGGTGGTCTGCAATAAGGTCGCAAGTCGACTGGCACACGCCTCGCCGTTGCTAGAACTTTCACTGCTAGTTTCACTGCTGTAGTGAGGAGAAGAAATGAGCTTTAAGATCATGTAACTTGAACCATTGTTTAGAACTAACTGGTCAAAGTACGTAATAGAAAAGTGCCTATTAGATGGATTTAAAAAAGAAAATGATTTATATTGTAATTTTGGCCTTATGTATTCAATTAAAACGTCAAACATGAAAAAGAGAAAGATCTCATTTCATCAATACACCACAACTACGGTAAAAACTTACGCAATTGGCACCAAAACTGTTGCTTAAATATATTAAAAAAAAACAGTCTCTACGCAATTTTTGGCCTTTGCCTTGTAAAACTCCCTATAGTTCACTTTCAAAAGTATTCCTAATATTGTTACCTTAGAGCCGCTGCCTCAGCGACGGCTCCACTGGGTTGCTCATCCGACGTCACGCTCGGCATGTTGTTGTTCAACTTCGATGATATACGCCTCAGGAACGTAATCTGACAAAACGAGAAAATAGTTAGAACGAATTAATTTGAACTCTATTTTAGGCAAGTTAAGGTTGGTTGACGGACGAGTTGGAGATCGCGTTTTAAAAATGATGTAGGTTATACTATTCATTACCAGTAGTTGCGCATCCTGCGGCGTAAATAGCGCAACAGTGGTTTGTAGATGCGCTTCAGTAGCGATGCGCGGGGTCTCGGCGTGCGCGTGGGGCTGCGCGGGCGTGGGCGCGCACGACCACGCCTCACTCGTCACGTTGTCTATCAGGGTCCATAGACATGACCGCTCGAATTTCAAATAGACGTCACGGACTTTGGCATCCACCTGGGTAAGAAATAATTAGATCTTATGCAACAAATTCTGCAGGTGTCCTATAACAATGACAGTATTGTTTACCATTTGATATCAACCCTGTCACTCGTACCATGGAGCAGATGATTGGCCGGCTCCAGTGAACCAACCAATCAGATCGCCGAACGCGCTCGATGCTATTACGTTACGAATGCGATAGTTATTCGTGCTTGGCACTCTGAGATTATGATTCAGAGCAAACTTTCGAGTATCTTCTGACAGCTAATGTGTCAATATACAAGTAAGTAAGTCTTATAATTACAAAAACACAAATTACTGTAGTTGTGAAGCTCCACAAGCGACACCTGCAACGCAACTTATAACAAAATTCACTTACCTCCTGGAACTTGGCTAAGCACAGCATCTGTATGATCTGTGCGATCTGTATGAGGTTGAAGCGAGCGATGTACGACACTGGTACTTCCACTACGCCGTGAGCCTCGGGGTTCACGATCGCGGGACATATGAAGTGGCTCATTATAAGGTCCGTACATATCGCGTGCAACTCGCGGTCTGATGTTCTGGTGACAAAATATTATTATTTTAAATATTTATAAGTACGCTTTTTTAAGTTTTTTTTAAAAGAAATATGTTTTTTTTTGTGTTTGTCTATATTCTAATATCATCATCATCTGTTACAAATAAAAAATATGTTTTTTTTACAGTAATCTTTACTAACATGTAGGAGAAATTCTGATTATTTATAAAAATAATATAAAAGTACAAACCTGGAATGTTGTTTAAGTAGATGCACGATCTGCTGGACAATCCAAGCTATAGTGGACGGGAAGTTGGGCCAATGTTCTCTAAGGGCCACGATGAACTTGGTGGTCAGGTTGTACAGCGACTGGATGGTCCACTTGCGGTACCGAGCTACCTTCGCTGCGTACTCCTGGCTGTTTGGCTGACCGAACTTCTTTGTGCGGTCTGCTGGTGAGAACCTGTGGAAGTAGTTCGATATTAAAACGTATTAACTCGTCGAGTACTGGTTTTGTAGACAAAATTATAGAACAATAGGTTGCGGTCACCGGTGACCGCTTGGTGTTTGACAGTTTAATACGTTTACATTACCAATATAATCTTA